AAATCCTACGGGGCAGTTCTACAATGTCCCACGGGGTTGCTACAGCTGGAATCCACTGGATGGCACTTAAGAAGTCACTTTGCAGCGTGAACTGCATTTGCAAGGCAGCAAACATCTCCATTCCTGATGTGTCCATGACACATACCAGATTTCTGATAACGAACTACATTGCCATTGAAGAAACCTTTGATCCATTGGCTAGAGAGTGTGTAACGGGTCCTTGATACAAGCCCATGAAGAAGGCTGTGGGTCCTGTCATTTCAGAAATCACTGCACATTTTATCATCGCATCTTGTTGGCTCTTCTTCAGTTTCCAAACTGGAAAAGCAGCAGGGTGAGTATGTTTGGAGCGAACTTTCTTTTGTTTCGTAGATTTAAACCAGATCATCTGAATGCTTTGGTTCAGTGTTCACACAGTTAGGAAACATCCTTAAGTCTATTATTAATGACTTCACCAGAGGAGAAGAGCAGAGTAAATTCCAGGGGCATCTGGTCTCCAGATACTTCACCTCGAGTAGTATTTCATGTTCTTTCTGGGTATCTCAGGTCAAAGTGGATGTGGCTTCATCTCCTCCCATTTCACACCCACTGGCCAGAGCAGGGGATGTGGATGGTGTTCTGGGGTTGGCCATAGATTATCTATGGTGGTGAATCAAACACTGACTATGTGCCATCAATAGGAATCATCAGGTACCAGGAAGCAATGGAGATCTTGGTCAGATGCATGTGCTGGGCAATGCTAATGAGGTCACCTAAGGATGGTGAAGGGTGGGCAAGGGTTGACTGAAGGTCACCGCTCCAATACTCTGCACTCTTAGACATTGATTATTGGAGCCATGGGGCTGAAGCACATGCCTGCACATGAGAACAGCTGCCTTAAGGTAGGCTCAGGGTACTGCACATCTGTGTGACCTGTTGCCAGGTATCTCAGAGTCATCTTTTGAGACAGAAATGCTGGACTTACATATAAGCAGGAGTGACCTCCAACCTCCATGCACAAAACATTCCACTGGGGTGTCATGTGGCTAAAGATGGAGGCTGGCCTTCTGCAGAGTGAGACGGTGAGGGGTTGGACAGCTTTGGGAAGATGGTCATGCTTTCTTCTAGAAGCAAGAAAAGACTGTAAGGAATCCTAAGGACAACTGTGATCTAAGCCCAGGAGGCTGCATGTTCAGTGTGCACGAAGGAAGTGTCCCATGCACCGAAGGAAGCGTCCAGACTAAATGGGAAGCCGAGAGCAGACTTGCTAGATGAGCACATTCGCTTTGATGTTCAGTTATACTCTGATCCCGTGAAGTGGCCACGTGGGGACAACAGATCTCTTCTGCTGACCTTCGTCCATATCTTTGTGGCCTGACCCACTCACACTACCAAAGACTGGTGAAGCATTCAGCCAGCTGGGCTTGGGTTCCCACAGCTCTCTCCCTTTGCAGATAAATAATAAAGTAAGGACAGCCACGGCTAAAACTCCTGCAACCTGTGCAAGGGGAGAGGGAGGAGGCCAAGGGTCAGACCTCACAGAACGTGCAGACTGTGGTCCCCTAGGTCTTTCCAGACTGGGCTTGGGAGTGACACCCCACCTTCTCACGGTCATCCTGCTTGCCTGACCTCCCCATCGTTCCTTCTCTTTGTCATCACTCCACGAACTGACAGGGTAGACCCTGGGTCACCCCACCTACGGGCACTGGCCCTTTCTGGGGATGGATGTCTCCCCACTGCAGGGATGCCTCCATACTCTCTCACTGTCTTCAGTTCTTCCTCAATCCCATTAGCATCTCTGATGGACACACACCCCAAACCCCGCAGTGTAACTGCTGATTCTAATCACAGTCTGCTGGGGTAGACTCCGGGACACATCCCTACCAGAGGACCAGGTTCAGAAGTGGCAGAGACATGTCAGTGGGATCAAAGGGGCAGCTGTAGAAGGAAACGGCCAGGTGCTCCTCAGATCCCCATCACACAGGGTGACGAAGCCCTCCGCTGCATCAACGCCACACGTCCCTGCTGCTGTCTGGGGAGGTCACACGCTGGGCGGTCCATGGGATTTCTGTGCTTCTTCCTTCCTGTACATTAGTGCTCTGTAGGCCTGATGTTAGGTAGTGGTCCAGAGAGGACTTCGAGCAGTATCGGGAATTGGGCAAAGAGAATACGAATGTGAGACGAAAGCCAGCTTCCTGGTGCCAACTGGCCAGACTTCAGTGACATACTGAATACCCCTGGGAGGTAAAGGTCATTTGACACTGGGTTCACTCGAGAGATTACATCACTTGGTGGCTCTTAAAAGCATTAGTCTTTAATTGTGCTTCTTGCGTTAAAAGGAAGAAAAGGGGAAAGTGGAAGAAAAAAAAGAGAATGAAAACATACAGAAGGGCTTTCCAAGACTGGAGATCTTTATGGAAGCAGACTGCCTCATCTTACACCTGCCGAGCAATGGGTGGATTTGAACCAGTGTCCTTTCGGTTACTACCTGAGCACTTAACCACTGTGCCACCAGAGCGCCTTAGAGTACACCCAAAGTGATTCTAAACCAGTTGCTGTTCTATGAAGGAAGGAGGAGAGAGCAGCCAGGTGAATGAACAGGAAGTGTGATTTTAATTAATGAGAGGAAGAGGATGAGGAGGGGGAGGGGGAAGAGAGGGAAGAGGAGGAGAAGGAGGAAGAGGAAGAGGGGAAAGAGGAATAGGGGAAAGAAGAAGGTAGGAACACACAGGGAGACTTTTGGCAAAGACAGTCTCAAAGATTTTCATCACAGCCACAGGGATTCTGTGTGTTGTGTGGAGGGGGTTTCCAGGCACTGCACTGGGCCAATTAACAGATCAGCTGGGATGCCATTTAGAAGTATTCTTGAAATAGTAACATCTTTGTTCCCAGGAGAAAGAACACCACCTTTCAGCTTAGAAAAGAACCGGGAAGGTCGGGAGCAGAACACAGCGAAAATGGGCCTGTTCTTCTGGGGAGAGATGAGGAGGTTGAGCCACCCAGGGGAAACCCAGCCCTGGGGCAGTCAGGGACCCTCGGGTGAATCCCACCCACTGCGTGTGACAGGGACCCTGGGCAGACAGAGCAGCCCCACACTGTGGACAAGAGCAAGAGATGCTGCCCGACTCTCTCCTGGGGGGACCTTGGCCACCGTCATTTCCACCTATAGGACCTCCCGGAGCCCCTGCCAACTTAATTTGAATGCAGACTGATACCTGCAAATTGGGATACACAAGGGTAGTTTGAATTCAACAAGACACATCAGTAACACAGGATTTTCCCAACATTCTCTGAAATTGTTTCTTTCGATTGTATGGGGCAGAAACAGCAGGGATAGCCGAGATCATGCGGCTGGCACAGGACCGGGCAGTGTTTCACTGGCTGTACACAGGGCCGCTGGGAGTCACAGACGACTCGACAGCTCCTAACGACAACAACATCAAGGCAGAGATGCACACGGAGCTCCTCAATAACGCGTATCTTCTCAATACCCGCCCCCCGGTGTATTTCCCTTCACGGATGAGAACTTGATTTCACGTTCACCCAGCTGTAAAACACTGAGGCCACAGTTTCTCAGCTGAACCTTTCCAGTCGGACTCTTACTTTCTGCAATTCGACCAACTGTCACGGTTTGGGTTTATAATATATATGTATATATCAGTTGTTGGGATTTATCTTCTTTTTTTCAGTCTTCTGGGAATCTCTGTATGAAAACACTCTGAAATTTTACTTTATCAATGTACTATGCTAAGCGCCATGGGAACCTCTGAAAACCTCACTTCAGCCGGCCCACTTCGGCAAGGTGCACTTGACACGCAGTCGCCCCACACAGAGAGAAGTGGGACGTGAGTGGGTGGAAGCCATCAGGGCCACACTCTGCCCGTGACCTCTTCCCTGACAGCTTGGTGAGGGGCCACACACCACAAGCACAGCGATGGGCCACAGGAAGCCACCGTCACCACCAGCGGTGCTCTGGACCCGGAGGAGGGCTGTCCGCCAGGGCCTTGAGGGAGATGGGAAAGGAAAAGGTGCTTTACATCTCATTTCAGTTCTTCCCATAGTTGCCACCACAGGGAACAAAACGTGGCTTCCACCCCTATTTCAGTACTTTCCGTATTTGCACTAGTTGGTGTTATACATGTTCAAGATCTTCCTTTGGGGAAGAGAGGAGGTATGGAATCTCCTCAGATTCCAGCTGGGAAGGAAATCAACACTGGTTATTCGACGGCTTGGCTCTTCAGGACTTTGATTAGACCAGACACGTGGGGTCTGGGCCAACAGCTCTGGACTGAGCGAGACGCAGAACATAGACTAAGGCTGGTCGACTAGCAGTTTGGAGAGCACTTTGTTCTTCATTGGGTTGTGCCTCTGCTCAGTGGTACCATGGTGACGGTAACAAGCCCAGGGCTGAGGGATCACACACCACCACCATCTCTGCAGATGCCAGCCACGTTGAACACTTTGGCTTCCTTGGCAAGAATCAGCCCAAGTCCAAACACACAAGTTACTTCCCGAATTCCTCAGCATCACTCAGATGGGGCCATGGGGGACCCGTGGAGAATGACTCTATGGCTGCATTTCTTCATTTTCTCCAACACTACAGACCTACCTAGGAACTCCTGGTTGGGTGGGTGGATAGAGGCTGATGTTCTTGAATGAAAATGTCAGGAACAGATGCACTCAGAAGCAAGGAAACTTGGATCATTCTAGGGACGTCCTGCAATGTGGGTGGCAAGTTTATGAACAAGCTCCATTAAACATTCAGCGTGTAGGAAAAACAGGTCGCACACAAGCACACTTCACACTGAGGCTCACGTGACAGTGATCACAGCTTTAGACCACACTTTCACGAGGTCACAGTTAGATATTTGTTGCACATTTCTGTCTGCGATGACACACTTGTGGCTTGACATGTGTTGAAATGTCTCCACATGTCACATCTGCAGCTGCAGGAACACAGGCAGTCAGGGGCACAGGCCTTGAGGAACTAGGGGTTCAAGAAGCCAGCAACAGAGGAGGGATTAGTACTCATCGTAATTATTGAGATCTGTAAAGTAGGCATTAGAATAGGTCTTTCCGGTGAGGTGTGGGTTGAAGTATTTGTTCCTTTCCTCTAGGATCAAGTTGTTTTTGTTAAATGCCTGTGGAAACAAGAATACTCATTAACTCCCATTTTGGAGATGGAGAGCAATCAGGATACTGTTGCACTGAACCCAGGCTCCCCAACACCCAGCTGTTCTGACATATGTGTTCCCATCTTCTTCCTTGCCACATCATCTGTTGCACTGAGGACTTGCCTGGAAACTACAATGGGGGTGGCCATTTGTGACTTCTCCCCATTTGTTTTTGAACATTAGTCAGAAAGGAAGGCCAGGAAGTGGTGGAGTGGTTTTGGAAAAGCTAAGGGAGACGAACTGGTCTCCCAGTTTGTCATATTGTGGTGGCTTGTGTGTTGCTGTGAGGCTGGAGGCTGTGCCCCAGTGTTTCAAAGGCCAGCAGGGTTGCCCATGGTGGATGGGTTTCAGCAGAGCTTCCAGACTGAGACAGAGTTGAAGAAGGAAGATGCCATCCATTTCTCAAAGAATTGGACAGAGAAAACCTTATGAATAACAGTGAAACACTGTCTGATGTCGTACTGGACAACTCTATGAACATTCCCGAAATACTGTCTGACACAGTGCCAGAAGATGAGCCCCTCAGGTCAGAAGGCACCAAAATGTGACTGAAAAGAGCTGCCTCATCAGAGTACAACTGACCTGAATGATACGGATAAAGTAGAGCTTTCAGGATGTCTGTTTGCTGATGTGGCATGACTCAAAATGAGAAGAAACAGCTGCAAACATCCACTAATAATTGGAACATGGAATGTACAAAGTATGAATCTAAGAAAATTGGAAGTTGTCAAAAAATGAAATGGAATGGATAAAGATTGATATCCTAGGCCTTAGTGAGCTGAAATTGACAAGTTTTGGTCATCTTGAATCAGACAACCATATGATCTACTATGCCGGGAATGACAAGTTGAAGAGGAATGTTACGGCATTCGTTGCCACAAAGAATGTTTCAAGATCTATCCTGAAATACAATGCTGTCAGTGATAGCATAATATCCATATGCCAGGAGCTCTGGTAGCACAGTGGTTAAGGCACTTGACTGCTAACCAGAAGGCTGGTGGTTCAAACCCACCAGCCACTCCTCGGAAGGAAGGTTGGGCATTCCTACTTCTGTAGTGATATTGCCTCGGAAACCCAAGGAGGGGTCGCTATGAGTCGGGGCTGACTCGATGGCAAACAACAACAACAACAACAACAACAACAACATGATGAAGGCCAGTTAATACTACTATTATTCAAACTTACATACCAACCACCACGTCAAAGAGCAGGAAATTGAAAATTTTTACCAACTTCTGCAGTCTGAAAACGACAGAACATGCAATCAAAATGTACTGATTATTAAAACGCAAAAGTTGGAAACAAAGAAAAATCACTGGTAGTTGGAAAATTTGGCCTTGGTGATAGAAATAATACTGGAGATAGCATGATAGAATTTTGAAGACCAATGACTTTTTCAATGCAAAAATCTTTTTTTTTTCAACAACACAAACAATGACTATACACAAGGATTTCATCAGATGGAGTAAAACCAGATTGACTACATCTGTGGGAGGAAGTGATGCAAAAGCTCCACATCTTCAGCCAAAACAAGGCCAGGAGCTGATTGTGGAACAGACCATCAACTGCTCATATGCAAGTTCAACTTGAAGTTAAAGACAATTAAAACAATCCATAAGAGCCAAAATATGATCTTGAATATATCCCTCCTGAATTTAGAGACCATCTAAAGAACAGATTTGATGCACTGAACACCAGTGACCGTAAACCAGAAGAATTGTGGGATGACATCAAGAGCATCATCTCTGAAGAAAGCAAAAGGTCATTAAAAAGACAGGAAAGGAAGAAAAGACCAAAACAGATGTCAGAATAGACTCTGAAACTTGCCCTTGAGTGAAAAATAGTTAAAGCAAATGGAAAAAATGACAAGATAAAAGAGCTGAACAGAATATTTCAAAAAGCAGTTTGAGAAGACAAAGCCAATTATAATGAAATGTGCAAAGACCTGGAGTTAGAAAACCAAATGGGAAGAAAACACTCCACATTTCTCAAGCTGAAAGAACTGAGGAAAAAAATTTAAGCCTCAAATAGCAATACTGAAAGATCCTATAGGCAAAATATCAAATGATGCAGGAAACATCAAAAGAAGATGGAAAGAATACACATGGTCACTGTACCAGAAAGAATTGGTTGATGTTCATCCATTTCAGGAGGTGGCATATGATCAAGAACCAATGGTGTTGAAGAAAGAAGTGGAAGCTGCACTGAAGGAAGCTGCAAAAGACAAGGCTCCAGGAATTGACGGAATACCCACTGAGATGTTTCAACAAAAGGATGCCCCACTGGAGGCACTCCCTCGGCTATGCCAGGAGACTTGGAAGACAGCTACCTGGCCAACTGACTGGAAGAGATTCATATTTGTACCCATTGCAAAGAAAGGGGAATGTGAAATTTCACAGAATGTGAAAATTATTGAACAATATCTTAATATTGCATGCAAGTAAAATCTTATCAAAGATAATTAAAAAACGGTTGCCGCAGATTATTGACAGAGAACTTCAAGAAATGCAAACTGGAATCAGAAGAGGATGTGGAACGAGGGATATCACTGCAGATGTCAGATGGATCTTAGCCCAAAGCAAAGAATATCAGAAAAATGTTTACTTGTGTTTTATTGACTATGCAAAAGTATTCGACTATGTGGATCACAACAAATTATGGATAACATTGAGAAGCGTGGGAATTCCAGAACACTTGATTGTATTCATGAGGAACCTGGCCATAGACCAGGAGGAGGCTGTCATGCGAACAGAACAAGGGGATGCTGCATGGTTGAGAATCAAGAAGGGAGTGCATCAGGGTTGTATCCTTTCACCATAGTTACTCAATCTGTATGCTGAGCAAATAATCTGAGAAACTGTATTATATGAAGAAGAATGTGGCGTCAGGATTGGAGGAAGACAACCTGTGATACAGTGGCTAGAAGCTGCTGGAAGTGAAGATGACCTGAAGCACTTACTGATGAAGAATGAAGACTACAGTCTCCAGTATGGATGACACCTCAATATAAAAAAATAAAAAACCCTCACAAGTGGACCAGTAAGTAGCATCACAATAAATAGAGAAAAGATTGAAGTGGTCAAAGACTTCATATTACTTGGTTCTACAATCAATACCAATGGAAGCAGCAGTCAAGACATCAGACAACATATAGCATTGGGCAAATTGGCTGTGAAGGACCTCTTTCAAATGCTGAAGAGCAAAGATATCTCCTTGAAAACTAAGGTCCGCCTAACCCAAGCCATGTATTCTCAATTGCCTCATATGCATGTGAGAGCTGGACAATGAACAAGACGAAAGAGCCGAAGCTTTTGAGTTGTGGTGCTGGCGGAGAATGCGGAAAGTACCGTGGACTGCTAAAGAACTAACAGAGCTGTCCTGGAGGAAGTGCAGCTGGAATGCTCCTTGGAAGCGAGAATGGCCAGACTTTTTCTCACTTACTTTGGTCATGTTGTCAGAAGGGACCATTCCCTGGAGAAGGATATGATGCTTGTTAAGGTGGAGGGTGGACAAAAGAGGGGAAGGCCCTCAACAAAATGGATTGACATAGTGGCTACAAAAATGGGCTCAGGTATAGCAAGGATCGTGGGGCTGGCACAGGACCAGGCAGTGTTTTGTTCAGCTGTATATAGGGTCACTATGAGTCAGAGACAACTCGATGGCAACTAACAACAACAGGAGTTTCCAAGAGAAGTTGAGGGCTTAAAAATCCAAAATCCACCCCACCCAAAAACCTGACACTAATGACTTAAAACGAGCAGAACCTTTGGCGATCATATAACTGAGTAGATGTTAAAGTAGCTCTCGGATCCCCGTGGATGGGCAATCCAGACCTTGGCTGGCCTCGAGCTCTTCTCTGATGGGAAAGCTCCATCTGGATTCAGAAGGCACTGAGCAGACCTGGGCAGTGGGCAGTGACCCTATATTTTCCAGCATTTTCTCTGTTGCTGTCTCCTTTTTTAACCCACACCTCTAATATGAGATGCTGTCTTTTCATAGGCAGAGCGAAGCCAACAAAGGTAGTTCATCATGAAGGGGACCCTGTTCCCACCCTGTCTGCATTGCCACCAGCACCTCAGAGGTCCAACAACAGCCCCAGGGTCTACCTGCCTCCCGGGCACACCTGGCTGTGGCCGTCCCTGCCAATCCCTCACCTTAATGGCTTCCATGGAGTCGTACTTGTCCAACTTGTTGATGTGGTTGGTGATGCTGGTGTTGAGAGGGGCAGGCGAGACAGGGTGGATGACAGTAGCGTCGTGGGACTGCTGCTGGTAGCGCTGGCAGTAGGTGTAGACGAGCAGGGTGAGCAGGCAGCCGAGGATGGAGCTGCTCAGCCCCACAGCCATCATGTGGAACACGTTGAACTCTGGGAAGACAGGGTCAAGAGCAACGCTGCAGGCAGAAAACATGGGCCCCAACAGCGCACATGCTTCAATGGAGAGAGAGGATGAAATGAACGTGTCCGGATACTTTCCAAAATTAAAGAGATCTTAGTACCTTCTCAGGAACTGTCACAGCCATGGCTACCACCAGCTTCTCTACAGCGAGAGGAAGGCATTCAAGGCTTGCCTTGGTCATAAGCAGCCTGCTGCATGGGACCTACACTTCACTACATTAGCAATACACTCACCATTGTCCCAGCCCCTGGAGAAGGACATCATGCCGGGCAAAGCAGAGGGCCAGTGAAGAAGGGGGAGACCCTCAACAAGACGGACTGACACGGTGGCTGCAGCACAGCAACAGTTCTGAGCATGGTGTGGGACCAGGCGATTCACTGTTGTACGGAGGGTCGCTGTGAGCTGGGCCGACTCGACAGCCGCTAACTAACTCAGCAAGGATAGTGAGGATGGTGCAGGACCAGGCAATTGGCTCTGTTGTACGGAGGGTCGCTATGAGTCAGGGCCCACTTGACGGCCGCTAACTAACTCAGCAAGGATTGTGAGGATGGTGTGGGACTGGGCAGTGTTTCACTCTGTTGTATGGAGGGTCGCTATGAGCCGGGGCCCACTCGACGGCCGCTAACTAACTCAGCAAGGATTGTGAGGATGGTGCGGGACTGGTTAGTGTTTTGCTGTTGTGTGTGGGGTTGCTATGAGTTGGGGCCGACTTGACGGCCAGTGACTAACTCACAGTACCAAAGGTGTTACTTCTGCGAAGGCTGCACGTGCTTGCTCTTCAGTGCCAAGTGCAGTGTAATCTGTACTCACTGGTTTCCGAGGACCGTTTCCTTTGGGCTCTTTAACAGGCGAGCTTCTCTGAACACTGGCTGTGTCTGAGAAGCAGTGGCCGCACTGCCGGCCAGATGCCCCTTCCCTTCCCTTAGGATGTCATTTCCTGTTCAGCTGCTCTCCGTTTACACAGTTGTGTTCTCACATGTGTATCAAAAAAAAAAAAAAAAACCAAAACCTCACTGCCTTCAAGATCCGACCCACAGCAACCCCTCCTTGGGTTTCTTCACTATGGAAGTAGATTGCCCAACCTTCCTTCTGAGGAGTGGCTGGTGGGTTTGAACCGCCAGCCTTCTGGTTAGCAGTCAAGTGCCTTAGGCACTGCACCAGGTAAATGTAAACTCTACTGTGGTAAGACAGACACAATGAAGCTTGCCATTTCAATGGTTTAAGTGTACAATTCAGTGATGTGAATTGCATCCCCACTGCATTTCCAGTGTTCTCCATCACCCCAGACAGACGCCCAGCACCTCTTCAGCCGGACCTGCCTCCCTTGTATTCTGACTGTGAACATGCACATGGCTTCAGTCCCATGATTCCCACCCTCCTGACCCCTTCTGCACACTTACCAGCCAGAGTGTGTGTGGAGGTGGGTGTGTGTTTGCGTCTGTGTCTGAGCGCATGTGTGCACGTGGCTGTGGCTGCGTGTGTGTGCCTGTGTCAGTGGCCGTGTGCATGGGTCTGTGGCCAGATGCATGCATGTGTGTGTTTCTGTGGTTGGGTGCATGTGTGTGCATGTGTCAGAGGCCAGGTGCATGTGTGTACATGTGGCTGTGCCCAGGTGCATGTGTGTGTGTGTTAGTAGCCAGGTGCATGTGTGTGCATGTACTGTGACCAGGTCCGTGTGTGTGTGTGTGTGTGCCAGTGTTACTCTGCACACCACTTGTTTTCACACACATTACCCTTGGGAAATCATCTGAAAAAAATGGTTACTCTAACAAAATCAACGATGTGTGTTAAAGGCATGAACAGGACCTTCTTGGTAGCTGTGAAATGCTCTCAGGTTACAGGCTGCTTTCCCATAAGCAGTATCTGCCCTGTTCCTCTGAGTTATTTTCCGCGAGAACTAATTCAAACCATCCTAGAAAACCAGCAGTGTGTTTCTCAAACAGGCCTGGCTTGTGGGACACAAGATGACTCAGCACGACCCCCCTGAGGGACAGCAACCAAGAAGCAGACACCCCACTGTGTTTGTAAGCTGTCTGCTTGACTAGGGCAAGTCAGTCCTTCTGAGGCCAACAGTAGCACTGGGAGCTCAGGGCTCCGGAAGCCAGGCTCACCAGGAACCACACAGCAGGACATGACGGTGTTGTATTTGTCTGTACAGTTTGGTCCAGTGGCAGGCCACCTGTGGGTCACTGGGCGCCTTTCCACTGCACAAAACCTATCCCAAGGGCCCGTCTCCTCCATGTAGAACCACGGGCATGGTGTCCCTTGGGTGCTAGAGACCATGCTGCCGCTGCCTGGTTGCCCAGGAGAGCTTCAGGCTTCCAGGGGCGAAAGGAACCAGGGGTCCACCCCACCCTCAGCCCAGAGCACTTGCCACAGGGAGACACAATTGCCTTCACCATGGGCTGTGATTGCTGTGGCCAGGAGCTGACGTTCGCCTTCCAGACGGAGCTTGGACACTCAGTGCAGGTTCCTCCTTACCACTCACGCAGACGGACCAGACCTCGGACTCTAGGGCTCGGCCCCATTCGCCTGGATGCGCCACAGCCCGCCGCAGGCCCATCTCCGAGCGAGGCCACGGAGGCCCCACCTGTGTGCACAGCAGAGTGCGTATCCCTCATCTGTTCCCAATACACAGCTTCTCCTCAGCTCTGCTCCTTGTGCTGTTCCCGGAGGCCCAGGTGGGGACACGGTGCAGAGGCCATGATTCCCGCAGTCCAGTCAGCTATGGTAGCATTCTCCAATGCCTCCCCATTCCAAAGAGACTTGCGTCTGCTGAAGGCATCCGGTGTGTGCCGCACTAAGAACTGGTGCGGTGTAGTAAATTACTTTGTGTGGCTTTTCTACCCATAAGTCTTTGTAAACTCCAAGGTGGGATTTTCTATGAGCAACTGAGGAGCTCCTGATTGCTGAAGGTATCCACCTGGAGTATTTCTGTGGGGAGTGGCACAAAACAATGTTCTGGGAGGTGCCCACTCTCTCTCAGGTGCTTAGA